GAGCAACAGAAGAGTAATCAGGAAGATGATTGACATTGCATTTAATATTTGCAGATTAAAGTTAACTGGAAAGCATGGAGTTGGAAGTGAGAGAAAAGAAACTGTTAGCACAGAACTTATGGTTACATCTAGCAATTTCAACTCTAAATTGATGACACCTAGTTGCCAATCTAGTGCTGTGCTTAAATTCATTAAGTCTAGATAGCATAGCAAAGAGTTCATCTGAACAATTAGCATGAAATATTTATAGAAAAGGCTGAGGGAAGCAACTTTCCAGCAGTGGGAAAGTAACTGAAACTGATATATATATATATATATATATATATATATATATATATATATAAAAATGGCATCGATTGGTGATGAGATTTTTATTATTTTAGCTACTTTTAGTAAGAGGTTTAATTTTGATTGCATTTGATTTTTTTTTTTTTAAAAGATTTAAGCATTTATCAACTGGGACGTTGATGTAAATTGATTTTATATGTAGACTGGCTTTATGTTTCATAGTTATATTTGTTTTCCTTAGTTTTTCAAGTACATTGCCTGAATTTTTCTTATGTGATGAGCTGATTGTTCTAAGGAGAAGGGGTTAACATTTTTCATTATGGCTTTTGACAGGTTATGGGGGAGTGCTGTCAATAACAGAAATAATGGGGTGCATTGGGATGTCTGTTTTGTGGGTTGATAAATGCTTAATTTTTTTCAAAACATTTAACACAATCAAAAATAAACCTCTCCCACCAGCAGGTAAAATAATAAAAAAATCTGCTGTCTTATCACCAATCAGTGCTATTTCCATTTTAACAATAATTTTTATTAGCATAATATAGGATTGTGTTATAAGTAATTTCTGTTTAGGGAAACAATTGTAATATTTTCAAGATAAATAAAAATAGAAATTATTTATAATAGAAGACACATATCTATGTATATGGAAAAAAATTGAGATCTTGGCTTAAAATTTTGGCATTTATCTGTAAAAAATAGAAATTGGGTGCCACTTTTGACTCACCTTGTATATGTATGTGTTTAAATCAATAAAGATGTCACACACAGGAAAAGTCATTCATGACATTTTATGTAACATTTATGTTACTCCTGCAAAAGACACTCAATGTGCTACATATGCACAAGGGAATGTAAGACCTTAGCAGGACTAAAATGCCAGATCTATGCTGCCTCTAATTCAGGATGGATCAACTGATAACATTGCTTGAAATCAAGTCACAGCCATCATATATATATATATATATATATTACAGTTCAAAAGTTTGAAGCCCCCCCCTCAGAATGAAAATGGAATGAACTTGACAGAAGAATGAAAAACAAATAAAATGAGCTCTTAGTGTCATTGAAAAAACAATGGAATTAATTATTAAACATACTTTGAGAAACTTTTATAACAAATCCAAAAAATTTGTGCTGCAGTAATCAAGGCTAAATAAGGATATTTTGATGGGAGCAAAATTTAATCATAAATTGTTTTTTTCTTTTTGTCATAATAAAATTTCTAATAAAAATCATGTCTCATTTGTTTTACCATGTATAATGATTTTTTCTTATTTAAAGTACAAAAATACTTTTGAGGCCAATTTAAAAAATTGCCAGGGGTAGCCAAAAACCTTTGAACTGTAGTGTATATATAGTCAAAAAAACTAATAAATGTTCAGTCAACTTAACTGTTGACCAAATGTAAAATTTTGCATTACACTGCTCATCATAGTCTGAGGGTTAGCTGATGAGCGGTATTGTGTTTCATATTTTAGATTCTGTCAAGAGATAAGTTGATTGGATATTTATTGATTATTGTCACTCTAGTTATTTATTGAGCACTTTCTCTGCAAAATTTCTTCTAGCCTCAAAATATTTTAAATTCTTGTAATTCTTAATTATTACTAATAGGTATTATTGATTTGTGTTATTATTTTTATATATTTACAAACACATACACACCCACACCCAAATATCTGAAGCTAGTATAATAGGTGGTCACTTGTTTCTGAGTATGTCTGTCTGGTGGGTGGCTATCTCGTCCATGTTGTACAAACACCTGATCAAGAACATTTGTGTATTTGTGGAATGACCACAGTCAATCTGTGATTTATACTGTAACTATGCTGAGCATAGTTTTTGGGAGAGAGTGCATCATCTGGCATGATCAACATTTTGAACAAGGCCAGTACACTCAAACCTTCAGTAATGATGACTTGTGACTTCGCAGAATCATTGGATGAACTGTTTTGTCTACTCAATTTCAGTCACAAGGCTTGAAATCAACCTGTGTCATAGATTTCAGATACTTTCTAAAGGTGCTGCACACTGGGATAACCTCTCCATGCTGATATTATCAAGAAGACATATTTTTGACAAATCAACCATGGTGAGATTCGAACTTGAGTCTCACGACCAGAAAAGGAAGTGTTCTGATCACTCAGCCATGTGTGTATATGTGAAGCTAGTTTTGAAGCCCTCCAACTACCAAACCAGACTACTGTATTAGTCAAACTATGGGATTTAGTACACTAAACAATAAATCTCATCTCAATCTGTTTAATTTTATAGGCAGCCTATAATTTTATGCAAGTAGTTAGCAGGTAAGTTACATAATATTTTCTTTTATTATCATGTGAATACTTTAAATTTTGTTAAAAGAATTCACTTAAAACTCTTTGCATATTTTATTTTTCTGAAACAAGAATAAGCATTCAGAATCCAGATCTTGGAATCCTAACCACTTACTTTTGATGGAAGATGTTTCCTAAGCCTGACTTAGTTTGACACAAAGCCATGATATTTGGTTATCAAGATACAACCAGACTTAATATTTGCTGCATTACTCATTATCACTGTATAGAGTGGTATCAGGTGGTTTCTTTAACAATCATCATACCTTTTTTAGGACACCTGCTAAATTTGTCAAATAAAGCATTTAATGTTATTGGCACTAATCTTTTCCTGCAAGGGTACTTAAGAAACCTCTTAATTCTTTGAAGAGCCACTTCTTGGAAACAACAAAAAAAAAACCAACCCCAGCCAAAAATTGTTCTTTGCCCACACCCATTCTGTATCTTGTAAATGCCAAAATGAATCTTTACAAGTAAAAAAAGAAAGAAAAAGAAATAATTAATTATTGCTTATATCATCTTATATCTCTCTGATGTTATCCATTTAGCAAAGTGAATCTGGAAAAAACTCATTTTGAAATTATCCATCTTTTTTTTTTTTTTTTTTTTTTAAGCCAATGTCAGTGAATAAAAAATATTTTTACAAAAATGAACATGCTTGATATTTGATTAACAAAGAAGCAAAGTGAAAGTATATCAAAGTTTATAGGTGTCATTATCATTGGAATGGGTTAATAATGAATGGGAAGGGCATGAATCTCTCATCCCCGTATTTATGGATTAAATTGTAGAGTAGACTTGAATCTCTTGCTTTGAGTGAAAAACAGTCTCAGAGGAAGAGTTTCAAGCCAAAGAGAAGACAGTCGGAAACCACTCCTTTATCTTACAAAAAAAAAAAGAATATGACAATTTAAAAATAATAAATAAAAGGAATCCATGGAGAATCATTATCACATATGTCCTGAAGAGTTATTTAGAAAATAGTTTAAGAAAGGGATTTTTTATAGTTTAATTTATAAAAATATTAAAAATATTCTGTTCAGCTATCTAAGTAGCTGTATATTCGGGGTTGTTCATCTTCTGAAGACAGAATGCATGGTTGTTAGCAAAAGGATGAGCCCAAAATGCAAATTACAAATTGAAGATAACAAAATTGTAAAAGTATAAAAATTTAAATATCTGGGAAATGTTTTAATCAAGGATGGAAAGTGTGACACAAATCTTTAGGTGCCTTATAATAGCCAGAGATGCCTTCCAAAAGTTAAGCAGAGTATAAAGAAACAGAAAAAATTTGACAGAAATTAAGAAAAGAGTGCAGAATTGTTACATGATATCAATCTTCTTATATGGCAGTGAATGTTGAACAATCTCCTCATGGATGAAGAGGAAACATGAAACAACAGAAATGTATTTCTACAGTAGTATACTGAGGATACCATAGACTAAACATGTGAGCAACAACAGAGTTTTAAGGAAAATGGAGACAAAAACGAGGCTTATACTTAACATCAGGAAGAGATAGTTGGAATTTCTAGGATACATAATGAAGAAAGGGGGTTTGGAAAATTTGATGCTCACAGGACAGATTGAATGCAAGAAGAACATAAGAAAACAACATAACCTACTTAGTGAGCTTGAGTAAATGGATGATGGAATTAGGTTTAGGAGAAATAACAAAAAGATAAAATTTATTAAGCGCTATGAAGGATAGGAAACTGTGGAGAGCCATGATCATCTACGTACTGAAGGGAGAAGAAGGGCCTCGCTTGAGCTGAAGTTCAATATCAGGAAGATTTTATACAAGTCAATAAAAGACAGTTAATTAAGGTTCTAAGAATCCACATTCCCCTATCATCATAAATATCTACTGGCCTATATTGTGTCATAATGAGAGGGCAATTTTTTTTTTCACCTTTGGCAAGTATTTTTGAACTGCACTACAAGAAATTCCAAATTAAAGCATTTTTTCCATTCAAACAGGCATGATCTTTTTCCCTTGCTCTTTTTTTTGTGATGATTAATCTGTCTGTCCTTAAAATGTGGAAGCCAATAGCTGACTCATCATTTGTCTTGAACATAGAATGTTGATGGAGAAGTCAAAGTAATTGATTTATAGTTGACTAAGGTCAACAGATCCTAATGTACTCATTGACACAACATAACAGGTAGGTTTAGAGATTTTGTGTTGGTGTATATATGTGACTTTATTGGTAATGTATAACTGTGCTCATGAATTTTTCTTGCCAGAATTATTACAAAACAGGGTTGTGAAATATTTTTAATTATGAAAAATTAACAATTTATTTTAATAGAAAAAAGAAAAAAATATGTTATTTACAATTTTAAATAGTGGTTTACCCATTGCAAATCTAGCTTGCAGTCATATCACATTGAAATACCAGTTTCCATAAAATCACTGAAGCTAAATAATATTAAGTCTGGTCAGTACCAAGATGAGCGACTGCTTGGGAATACCTGGTGCTGTAAGCATGGATGTTCATGGCTGTATAATGGATAATGACTTGGAATTGTTAATCAAAGATCCAAGTTCCAGTTCCTTTTCTGTTGGTTATATTTATTCACTTACATGGAAATAACCTCTTCTCCACCCAGGTAGGAGTTAATTAGTAAGACTTGTATCACTAAACCATTATTTTCCCCCACAAAAAAATTCTTACCATCTAAAAATATTTCCTGGCTTTAAATAATCTTCAAAGGGTGTTTGATAATCCATAAATATGAATCAAGGAATTAATCAAAATACGAATATTATCCTTGTATTTAGCATTATTACACCATTATTCTCCACATCATTGTCATGGCTGATATTTTCATTAAGATTAGCATTATCTACATATATACACAAAATTCAAATGCAACCTCTATCCACATGTATGTGTAACACTGTTCAGTGTACAGATACTACACTCTGATCATGTATTTACCTACCCAGTGCAATATAGAGGTAGGTACATGAAATATAGTCTGATTGCTATCAGGTTCGCATACATACATGCCAAGAGCAAAAATTATGCTCAACTGCTATGATAACTGTCACATGGAGGTCCTTCTATGGAAGGATGCTTAAAAGATAAAGAAATTACCTGGAAATATCAGGAATGAGTTCTTGGAAAACATAACCTTCATATATACATATATATATATATATATATATAAGGGCAAGAGAGATATGGGAAGGCAGCCACTTGTGAATAGTTGGTGGAAGGGAGGAGGGAAAAATTTAGCGAAGTGAGAAAAACTGCTAAAGATAGGAATTTATGGAGAGCCTTGATCATCTGTGTTCTGAAGGGATGTTGTACATAGAAGAAGAATCCATAGTGTTATCAGCAGTAGCAGACAGTATGGCTTTGCCTTTTTTTATATGAGGATACATATCCCAAGATTCAGCTTGTTTAACTTAATTTACATTAGTAGTAGTAGTAGTAGTATACATCTATACTTCAGAAATCTGTGATCACAAATAAGTTTGTTCAAACAACTACATACCTAATGATCATGACAGTCTAGTAACAGAAAATTATATATATACATAGCACGGTAGAGTAATAGATTGTGTCTAAGATAGAGGTATTGGAGAGCTGAGTTCAAATTCCAGTCAAGTTCATTACATTTGCTTACATGCTAATATCCTTTGGAAAGGTAGGAAACCAACTCTTCTCCCCCCCCCAGATAATAGTAAGACTGACTGGTTTCTATAGCTTTGAGTGGCAATCATTCAAGAAGAAAGAAAATTTTATTTAGCTCTGGCAAAGTTCATGCTATGCAGTTAAGGAAATGATTGTTTGCATCGAGTCGATGATCTTGACTATGGTTGACTCCAGTGCGTGTGTAGTAAAAGAGATAATCAGCTACCTCGAAAAAAAGTTTGTGTTTAGTGTGCGATCTGCCAAAGAAAAATTACCAAACAGTAATAAGCAAAAATCTGCTTTAAGGACCAGATTCTATGCTAATGTTCTTCCCTCCCCTGAATGGCATGACCAATCAGAAGGATCTCTTGGAGAACAAAAGCCGTTGCTTTTCGTTTATGTGAGAGATTCGGGATTTTCTTAACTTGGTAGACGAACCCGCATTTTTGCTAGTGTGAAGTGAAGGTTGGATATGTGACCCCATTTTGTCATTTCTATGTTGCCTGTTGGACTGTTACGATGGACTATCATTTAAACTGTGATTTGGCTACAAGTGTTGCAGTAGAGAGACAGAAGAAATCTATTGCAGACGTTTATTGCTACTATAAATTGAGTCTTTTTTTTCTTTTCTTTACAACTATAGCTTGCCCACTATATACTGGAGTCATTGCAGTTCAACTTCTAAATTAGTTTGCCTTAATCTCATACTATATTTATAAAGATAGCATGTCACCATGACATCCATTAATGTATATATTAAAACTTGATTCTTTATATTTAAAAATAAATAAATTTTAAAATTATCTACCAAAGATAATAATTAAATTTCCTTTAACACAATATTTCTACAGATGCACCACCAATTTTCCAGCAACTGCTGGCCTGGCACCTCTTCTAATCTGGAAAATATTATGATAATTCGAATTTTACATAATTGCCAGATTAATTCACAGGTGGTGTTGTGTGTGATTCTTTGCCTTGAACATTTATCAGGACTAAAGCTTATTCCAGACCTCATTTAGAACTCATATATATGATCTTTTGCCAAAGATACTGGAAAAATAGATTATTCATTGTGCCACTCCAGTAAGTATCTGACTCTCCCTGCTATACTCTGTCTTTACAAAAACCAGATCAAACCAAAAATGGAGTATTGCTGTCATATTGTTTGATATCCCACCCATTTCTTAATCAAGCTTCACCAAACAAATCCAGGCCTTTCACGTCATCACCACCATGACCTTAGTTAACTGACCCACCAATATATCAACTCCAAGCTTTACTAACTCTACCCTCATTCAAAATCACCACACCTTGCCTACACAGACATTCTGTATCAGCAAATAAAAAAGAATTTTATGTTACCATTTTTATGTTTTTCTTTTCACCTCACCAGCAGTACTGTTGTTTCATTTGTTTTTCCATGGTATCATTCTTTTTCTTTCTATGTGCCATGTTCTTTCAGGACAAGCAATCATGGCTCTCCACTTCCCTCTATCCTATGTGGCTCTCAATAAGTTTCATTCTTCTGCCACCTCCTCCAGATAACATTCTGTCATCCACTTGCTTAAGCTCACCAGGTATGTCATGCATTGCTTTCCCTTGTCATTTTTTCCTTCTATTTGACCTGTGAGTATCAGATTCTCCAGGCCCCCCTTTCCTTATTATGTGTCCCAGAAACTTCAGCTGCTTCGTCCTTATGTTAAGTATAAGCCTCCTCCTTCTTTGAATCCTCTTCAAGACCTCTCATTGCTCACATGCTCAGTCCATGATATCCTCAGCATCCCTCTGTAGAACTGGATCTCTATCGTCTCCAGTCTCTACTTCATCTTTGAGGAGACCATCCAACATTCGCTGTCATAAAGCAAGACAGATGTCACATAAGAGCTCAGTACTCTTTTCTTTATTCCCAAAGAAATCCTCCTGTTTCACAATACTCTGCCCAGCTTTTGGAATGTGTCCTTGGCCATCCAATATGTCTACAGATCTCAGTATCACATTTACTGTACTTTGTCTAAACACTTTCCAGGTATTTAAACTTCTGCACCTACTTGTTTTTAGTCCCTTCTTCTCACTTTCATTCACCACCTTCTGCAGTAGGTTTTGTAATTTCTTTTCTGTGTCTGCTATCTGTGTAACACATATTATAAGAGTGCTCAGATCTTAATACTCAATTTTGCTAATTTCTTTAACACTTTCCATTTGAGTTAAAGTGACTATTTGAAAACCAAGAGAAACTGACTCTAACAAACATTCTCTTCAATTCATGGATGATAATGGTTCTCTATAACTTGCTATCCCCTGTAGTTCCTTGCAATATTTGTTATTTTACTATCCATCCCACTCACTGTTCTGCCATCCATTTATACAAGTCTGTTAGGTAGGTTAGTCAACATTTGACTTGCTTGCCTTCAGTATTTCCTATGAGTGCCAAATACTCCAAGCTTTCTTTCCTCATTATATATCCTAGAATGTGTTGTTTTCTGATTCGAAGTATAAGTGTCCCTTTTTTATGTTTTCCTTAAAACTTTCTTTATTGTTCACATGATCTGTCCATGGTATTCTCAGCATATTCTCTGTTTATAATAAATAGTATTAAATAATATTTACCGACCTGAATATCCTAGAAATTTTGACAGAAAATATTCGACCTCTGTTTTTGTGAAAATTTCTTAGACATTCAGGCTGGTAAATGTTTTTTAATACTGTTTATTATAAACAGAGCATTTACTTAAATATTTGTATCTATAAAAAGAATGTATAAACGTAAAAATTTCTTAAAATAATTGTTGGACTTTGTCCATTTCCTAATATATTGTAATAATTTATTTCACCAGAGAATTTATTATTCTCTGGATCTTCAGACTTTCAAGTTTGAAAAAATGACATTCAAAATTTACACTTTTGAAGGGCAGTATTAATCTTATATAAGATGACATAGAGGGTGATGACTGATAGTCCAAGAGACATGGTCAAAATTAGGGAGGGAAGAGAGAATTTATTTTTATTTTTATGACAATACTTAATATTGAGGAGAAGTGGGGTAAGGACCAGACATTGACCTATTTAATCAGTCAATTCACCAGAAATGATATGGAGAATAAAAGAAAGAGAAAAAGAAAAAAAAAGTATGGAGTATTGCTATCATATTGTTTGATCTCTTATAAATTTATATTATTATATTATATTATAAGTTATTATATAATATGTAATATATTTTTAAATATATTATATAATAATTTATATATATATATATATATATATATATATATATATATACACACACACAAACATATATATAAGTTCCATCAAATTTTTTTTCAACATTTTCAAATTTCCAAATTAGTTCTTTTATGTAATCAATACATTTGCCAAATTTCATATTTATTCTAATTTTATATTTTTTCCCTGAGTACTTTATTATTATAAATTATATATAATTATATATAATTTTGATATATATATATATATATATATATATATATATATATATATATATATATATATATATATAAAATTATAATTATTTACAAATTTGAACATAGTATATTTAATCATAAATATATGAATGTAATGGAACCTGTTCTCATCTATAGTGTATACATTTTTTTAGAGATATAGATATATTAAAAAAAGATAAATTAAAATTCAGCAAGTATTTTTTTAAATCAATATCACCTCAAACAAGGCAGTACAGCCACTAACACACAAGGAGGAAATAGGAAGAGAAACATTAATAATGAGTAGAAAGAGAAATCAGGAAGACAGTAGATAGTGATTGACATTGCATTTTTGCAGATTAACATTGGTTGGAATGCATGAAGTTAGGAGGGAGTTTCAC